CGCTGTAAAAAATGAGATTGTTTGTCTGTACGAAACGTGTGTTCCTCACAAGACGGGTACTGCGGGCAGCGCACGTGCAGGACACGGGTAGCGCGTGCAGAGCACGTGCATTGCGCGTGCGAGGCAATGCATTGGCTGCCAGTCGCATCTCAGTTGACACCGACTGTTCCATCATTTGCGGGCTGTTCCATCGATGTTGTTCTGCTCAGTATATGCACAAATTGAAAATAATACATATTTGTGTTTTACATTCATGACGGTTCATAAGTCGGATAAAACACTCGGTCTTGGTCGGAATTGTAAAACCTTAGACCTGCAGAGACTGCAGCCCTCGGTTTAACAAGCTCCGTCCCTGCAGTTCTCGCGTTTTACAATCCCGACCAAGACCTAGGAGTCATGCTTTATACTTTACATAAATGTGTAATGGTGCTTTTTATTGCTTTAAGTTGGATGAAAACGTCATGCCTGAAGACTTCTCTCATCGTGACATAAGAAGCAAAAGGTGAGAGGCATATCGTGTTTGCCACTGACCGACAGTTACAGCACTAAACTACGCGTAGTGCGGCGTACAACTTAACTCACTTGTGCGTGCCGAGTGGGACTTTAAGCTGATGCCGCTTGTTTTTGTGATTATGTCAAGACGAAGCACATCTGATCACGTTTAGGTTTTCAAGCGCCTACTAGAGGTTCTTCCCAACACACCACAAGTAAAGATTATTTTGGCATTGTCAAGTTCCAATTTTTAAATTGTTTAGTAAGAATATGTATGGCTGGCACGGGCGAATGAACAACAAGGTGGGAGGGCAGCCATTGGGGGTCTACAGACTCATCCCAGAGCTCCACCGTGAACCCAGCCTCCTACCCCTACACTACAGACCAGAGCTCCATCCCAGCCCTCTCCCCTACCGTGAACCCAGCCCACTACCCCCCCCTACCCCTACAGACCAGGCTCATCCCAGAGCTCCACCGTGAACCCACCTCCTACCCCTACAGACCAGACTCATCCAAGAGCTCCACCGTGAAGGCAGCCCCCTACCCCTACAGACCAGGCTCACCAGGCTCCATCATGAACCCAGCTCATCCAAGAGCTCCACCGTGAACCCAGCCCCCTACCCCTACAGACCAGGCTCATCCCAGAGCTCCATCATGAACCCAGCCCCCTACAGACCAGACGCATCCCAGAGCTCCACCGTGAAGGCAGCCCCTACCCCTACAGACCAGATTCATCCCAGAGCTCCACCGTGAAGGCAGCCCCCTACCCCTACAGACCAGGCTAATCCCAGAGCTCCACCGTGAAGGCAGCCTCCTACCCCTACAGACCAGGCTAATTCAAGAGGGACGTGTGGAGGCATACATCAGAAAGTCGTCATCAGCAAGACAGGATGAGGTCTTCGAACTGTAGAGTTCCTTCAAGGATGGGGACTTGTCTCTGTCCCAACTTCTCACAAGATGTTCTGCTATTCATGGACCGATCATTCAGTGAATTAACAACAAAACAATTAATCTTAAAATGTTGTATGATGCGCTATTTAAATGTCCAATTAATTATATTATCATAAAAGAAGTGAGGCTCTAATTTCCATTATTCAACAGCTTATGATATGATAGATAGGGAATACCCCAGAATCCAAAGAGTAACTGGTGTTTTAATACAATTCAGATGTTTTTCTTTTGTCTAGACATCTTGTCATCTTGTGCACAATACCATAAACTGTTATATCAAATACTGTAAGATACGTTAATTAAGTTGGCAACTAATTAAGTTGGCAAAAACCGATTATTACAAAACTAAATAACCCTTAGAAATCAATATCTGAAGTAAGCTACTATACCGGGGTATGAATCGACACAACTGTACTATTTAGAAAGGAAATTGGAAGATAAGGATAAGAACACTTGTAGAGGTGCTATCTAAAGTTCTAAAGCACAACTTACACTTGAATCTGATCGATGCACTTCCTATTTTTATAATTTGGAAAAATGTAAACAACGAGATCAAAGCATTATTTGATTAGGGAGATGGTACAATAACCGGGAAGACAGGGGATCTGTTGGATACTGCTCAGCAATTCTACTTTCCCTTATTTACTGCAGAGCAATGTAATTTAGAAAAACTTTCCGAGGAAGAAATGAATTCATGTGGAATGGCTATTTCTCAGTGTGAGCTTTCAGAGGCACCCTAAGGTATGAATAGGAATGAATCACCTGGCCCTGATGGACTGGCTGTTGAATTCTACTTTTGGGATATCTTATGTCCCGTCTTTTTACAAGTTTTAGATGGAATTCATAAATGACATGATGACATGACAATACTTTATTACCCCAAGGGGAATTCTTTTTACATTTGAAAGTGGTCACAAGGTTACTTATAAAAATGACATATAGGTTAATAAAACACAAAACAACACAATAGACAGACAAAGTTAACAATCATTTAAAAGTCGAATACTTGCTGGAATAAAAGAATTTTGAACTCTTTTTGTTTTAAAACGGGGCATTTGGTATCGGCGGCCTGAAGGTAAAAGATGGTATTCAGAAAATAAAACAAGGCTGGGATCAGATAAAATTTTCTCAGCGAGGTTAATAACACGGGAATTAAAGAGAGAAGATAAATCCGAAACAGACACCCCAGAGATTTTACTTGCAATTAAAATGATTTTGTTAAGATAGGATTTGCTTTTGATACTAAGAGAGCCATACCAGCATTGAATTGATAAAGTTAAAATACTTTCAACAAAACAACGATAAAACGACAGCATCACCTTTGAGCTTATGTTAACAGATCTCAGTTTGCGCATAAAATACAATCTTTGCTGGCATTTCTTAAAAATAAAATCGGTGTTTGGACCCCACTGTAGTTGGACCCCACTGTAAAGAACATACTCTTTCACGTTCCATTTAAAATAGTAAAATCAGTTAATTTTATAATAAGACAGGAGACAAGAGTGACTGCCTGACTGAGTTTGGTTTTACGCCACTTTTAGCAATTTTCCATCGACATCACGGCGGGGGACACCAGAAATGGGCTTCACACATTGTACCCATGTGGGGATTCGAACCCGGGTCTTCGGCGTGACGAGCCAACGCTTTAACCATTAGGCTACCCCGCCGCCCACAGGAGACAAGAGAGACATTAAGTGTAACTGACCTATTTAATGATAAATATAGATTGTAAACTTTTATCACTGAGACTGTGAAATATCATGGCTTCAACTGTTTCCCCTGAACAATCTTGTTGTGTACCAGGAAGAGATATAGCTAACAACCTTCACTCTGTGAGAGATGTTGTTGATGTTACTAATAATCGTAAATATGATTCCTACCTCATCAAAATTGATCTAGAGAAAGCTTTTGACAGGTTTCACGCCAAAATATATTTCACATTTTCATAAAATTTAACTTTGGAGATTTCTTTTCTTTTTATGGGTTAAGATTTTATGTACTGATACAAAGAATGCAATGGCCATTTGACACCTTATTTCACCTTAACCCGTAGAATCGACTCTATGCTATACGTTTTGATATCAGAGCCACTGAATTTAATGGTCAAGAACAATCCTGATATTACTGAATTAATATCAGTAATGACATTAACTCTCTAATATATCAGCATGCTGATAACACTAAAATCACTGTCTCAGATGTTAGGTGTCTTTGAAACATTTCGTACAGTTAATAACTTATAATGTGAGGTAACGGGTGCAAAAATCAACAATGAAAATTAAGAAATTTTGTTATTGGGCAAAAAAAGGTTTCATTATATTTTCAACCTAAATCCCGGTTAATGTTCAGAGATATTGCATAGAAATATCAGGCATTTACTTTAGCATGGATAAAGCTATGGGTGAAACATTAAAGTGGAGATAGAAAAGAGTGAAAATACTACCACTGTTGACTTCATAGACAGCTTACTCTACAAGGCAGAGCCATTGTAATAAATATCCTTATGAGTTCCCGCTTGCGCTATGTGTTTGCTGTAATAACTGTTTCCACATTGGGTTGAGTATAAATTTACTCAAATGTTTAGTAATTTTCTGTGGCACAATATAACTGCCAAAATCTCTTGAAAATATGAAAACTTATTTAAAGAATATAAGCCCATTGTATGCTCAGCTTTTCGCTGCATGGAATCAAATTAACGAAGGAATATGACCATTACTTCAAATTCTATCAACCACTATTTAGAAATCCATGAATTATATTTAATGGAAACACTCCTAGGTTTCAATAGTTTATTTCAAATGGGATTACTTGTATCAAACATATTTGTTTTGAAGTCATCCCAAAATTCATGGCTGGACAATTTATTTTGAAAATATTCCACGAGACCTTACCTGAGATGGGCATAAGTATACAACAATGTTATGGGTCATTTTATATGACCATCAGAGTGGAAAATAATCATGATTTTACCTGATTTTGGCATAGGTGCTTGAGAATATTTCGCTCATATGACGACGTGCATGCGTGTTTATGTATGTGATTGTGCGGCTGCTTGTACTAGTCCAGACTGAAGCTGATTTTATAGTGCTAGCCCACTGAGATACCATGCCACAGTGAAGCATGAATACCCTATGATGAGATAATATATGTAGTCATGGATAGAGCATCAGATATGAAATCTTTAAACATAAAAAGTTGTGATAAATTACAGAACATTATTCATTGCAAAAACATATGTGGCATTAGGGGGTACAAAAATCCAGATAGAAGAGAATTCACGAGACAGTAAATTGTAGAAGATGAATGAAACGTCGTGAAAAAGACGTCCCATCCCTACCAAGACATCGTTCCCAGATCGAACTGCCAAGCCTCTACACCAAGACATCGAGTGGCGAACATTTCCTCATTGCAGGTGATGGCGAAGATGACAAGATACTGGTATTTACAACTTTAGACATCCTTCGTCACTTGAGTCAGTCTTCTGTAACGACACCTTTGACAAGTCCCATGAGATATTCACCTGTCTCTACTCGATTCATGCCTTTGAGAAAGGGAACATGTTTCCTCTAGTTTATGGTCTACTTCCCAACAAGAAGCAGATAACATACCACCGGTTCGTCAGCCATGTGAGATACTTTGCTGCTGCAAACAACAAAATCATCTCACCCATGTTTGTATTTACGGACTTTGAGGTAGCAGCACAAAATGCAGTGTCTAGTGTTTTCCCAGGTGTGACCATGAAGGGTTGCTTTTTCCATTACAGCCAGGCTGTTTGGAATAATGTGCAGAAATATGGACTTTCCCACCGCTTTGCAGACGACCCTAGTGTAACTCAACTTGTGCGCCATGCCATTGCCCTTCTCCTAGAGCCCCTCGACAAAGTCAGTGACATGTGGTTGTACGCCCTCGACTCATCACCAGCAGATCCATCAACTGAACGGTTCGGGGACTGCGTGACAACTTACTGGGTTTAATGTGACCTTGGTCGTCAGATGTGGAACCATTTCAACACCGCTGGCCCTAGAACAACAAACCACGTTGAGGAGTGGCACAGAAAACTGACCACTGGAACATCTGAGTGCCACCCCAACCTGTTTAAGACCATCAGCTTCTTGAGGAAAGAACAGGCGTACACCGAGACCTGTATTATCCAGTTGACCCATGGTGCCAGAGCTCCCCCAAAGAAAGAAGTACCGCGACTTGACACACACAAAAGGTGAGGTGAGGTGAAATTGGGTTTAACGTCGTGCTTGAGAATAGTTCGCTCATATGACGATGTGCATGCGTGTATATGTGTATGTGCGGCTGCTTGTACTAGCCCAGATTTAAGCTGGTTTTATAGTGCTAGGCCACTGAGATACCATGCCGCAGTGAAGCATGAATACCCCACTCAGACACATTATACTGACTCAGAGCCGACCAGTCCTTGTTGTACCAATTAATGCCGAGCGCCAGGCAGGGACCAACAAGTACCATATTTTTACGTCTTTTGGTATGATGCGGTCGGGGATCGAACCCGCGACCTTCCGCTCTCCGGGCGGACGCTCTAACCTCTACACCACGGAGGCGGTACCACACACAAAAGACGCTTAGAAAGTGGCCAAGTGTCATGTGAAGACTACCTTGACCCAGTCGGTCACTTGACTGGTTATTGATATTGAAATTATATAAGATAATTCTGCCACTGATGTCCATTAAGTACTGATATATGTGTGATTATGTGAAATTAAATATGTACATTATGTATATCCTTTTAAGATAAATATCGTAAATTTACCTAACGACATGAATTGTATTAAATGTTTATATCTTGTCTCCAGTTCATGGGTATCTAGTTTGACCCAACACCTGTTGTTTTAGGTGATTATCACGCCTGACTGGTTCATATACTCCATATAATAGGGCTGGATGGGAAAATTCAGACATACCCATGTGTCAGTGATACAGACTACATACTGTGTTATCATTCAATCCCTACCAAGTAAGTGGTTGATCATTTGGTCCAGTAAAACATAAGAAGGAACAATATACTGATGCTGTTATTTGCAAAGATAATGTAAATATTTCATCTAAAGTTTTCAAAGCGAAATATAGTTATTCCTTATTCGTTAATGCACTGTTTCGTGAGCCAACAGCCATTTCCTTCCTGAATGTAAGTATGCTATTAATATCAATTGGACTACAGTTGGGAAAATTGCATTCTTGAAAGACACATCCTCTAGACAAATTGATTTGGAATTCAGTTTAAGCCATGGCATATGAAAATATATGACATATGAAAGTTTATTCTTATATGGCAAACAGACACGAACATGTGTCCGGTTTGTAAAATTTGATTTCGTAATAAAAGAGAACACTCATATTCATGGATTCAGAATCAGTAATGTTTAATCTTTAAAATATCAGCATGCTGATGACACCACTGTTCCTGTTGGTTACCCACAGTCAGTGGGGGAAAACATTTTAGGCGATGTGAATATTCTTGTGAAGCGACTCAAGCCAACATCAATTTCCAAATTCACACCTTACCAGACATACTGAATCAACCCTGTTTACCAACCCTATGATCTTGTATAATTATGAACAAGACATTGTTTAAGTAAATTATTCATCAGCAGTGGAATAATGTGCATAAAAGATATCAACTTGTGTTATGAAGTCATTCCACATTTTTGTATGTTAACAACAATGTTGAAATTGTACAAGACAATGCTTTGTGTTGATTTACAAACAATTAAGAATGGATAAGCTGTTATTTAACATGCGCTCCAGGGTGGAAACATCCTATTTTTTTTATGTTGTCAGTGGTCCTCCTGAAGATATATAGTTTGCCAGATAGAAGACTGGGATGTATCAGTACAGCAGTTTCCGGTTAGATATTGCTAGGAAATTGAATCAACGGTTACATATTGCTAGGAAACTGAAATTTTCAGGACAAAATATTTTAAAGAACCAAATAGTTGTCTTATTTGTCCTAATGATGCCTTGCATTTGTTTCCCTACTGAAAGAAACCGGCTTATGTTTTGGACAGTTCTCAGGGACTAAAAACTGTCTCTGAAAAGAAATCATTGACGGACATCATGTTATCAATGTAATGGATGGCAGTATTTGAGAGACCCGTCGTTACGAGCCTATGTGCCTTCTCCTTTCAAATCGGGCGGTGGGGTAGCCTAGTGGTTAAAGCGTTTGCTTGTCACGCCGAAGACTCGGGTTCGATTCCCCACATGGGTACAATGTGTGAAGCCCATTTCTGGTGTCCCCCGCCGTGATATTGCTGGAATATTGCTAAAAGCGGCGTAAAACCATACCCATTCACTCACTCACTCTCCTTTCAAATCCTTCGTTCAAACACATCTTGCATTGCTTTCGTTTCATAACTCAAAATTGCATCAATTGCATCTTTTTATTCAGAATTACATCAACATTAATTATAAACTTACGAGCAAAATCTTTATCCTTTGAGGGGTAAAGAAGAGAATAAGATGAAACACCCAATTCGCGATTGACCTAATTAATGTTTGTCTTCACTTTCCAATATGAGTATGTATTACTGTTTCGAATGTTTCACTCAACTCTCAGACCCTACTTTGGATGACGATTCAGAGCTTAGCAAGGGTGTCAACAGTGACAATGACAGTCGTGAGTCAAGTACGGCAGCCACAATACAGTTTATAGGGCGGTAAACAAAGATAATGAAAAATCGTTAGGCTTGCAAGACAATGACAATAACAGTGATGAAAAGCCTCAGTCAACTTCAAGGAACATTAAGCCACCTCCTACGAGTGATGCCTACCAAACAGACACAGTTAAGAGAAGGAAAAGAACTGTACGGGAAGCCCATATCGAAAATAGAAGAATAGATAGACTATTAAAACGAAATATCCATCACCATTTAGAATTCTTACCATGTGGATGATAATTTCATCATGGAATGTCAATGATCTTAGAAACATAGGAAATTTAGAAACTGTTTTCTCAACCCGTCAAAATTCTCAGTGATAAATGCTTTTTACAAGAAACCTTCTAGGATAATGAATTTTTTTAACAGTATAAACATATGTGGCATGGAAAAGTATTTCATGATAATAACATATATAAAAAATGAAAAGGAGTTGCTATTTTATTTCATTCCAAATTTCCATATCATGATAGAAAAACAATTCCGATATTGAAAGTTGTGTTTAATGGTTAATGATACGGATTATTCATGGATAAATATTTATGCTCCAAATGAGCCAAGTCGGAGAATAGCTCTAGATCTCTTTGATGAAATCGCTACCTATAGTTGTAATGATAATGTAATAGTTGGAGGGGACTTTAATTAAAGTTTAATTGTTTACTGTGCCAGAGGTGCCAATATGAAAACATTTGATATGAAAAGTAGTAATCGCTTACAAATGTTGTTGAATAATATAAACGTCTGATGTATGGAGGTACATGAATCCTAGCAGATGGGAAAATACAAGACAAGAACTTGTTGACGGCGTCATCAAACAGCCACTTATAGATATGATTCTAATAGCAAGATCACCTGAGTATTTGGACGCATTATAAAACTACGGCGGGACAAATAGACTGTCTTAAATAAACTTGGGAGACAGGAACTTGAATCGAACTTTGAGAAGCGCCATTTACCTTTGGGAGGAGAATTAGCGCAGACGTCAAATTGTTGAAGGCAGATATGGAATACACATCGTCCCGTGACCGAACGGGACACATGTGTACTGTTGAACTGGTGACTCTTGCAATGGTATTGCCCAAGGCCATACAGGCGGATTTGCGTGCGAGGCTTTGGTAGCATCGGAACTCTAACGGCTACATACATATACGTAATGCGTTGATTAAAATCGTAGATTCTCTTGAAAAAGGATGGGAGACTGTAAACCCTTTTCTGTTTAATCAACTTGCAGACGATTCCGATGATGATTAGAATATATATAAAGCACTTTGCAAACACAAACGCACGTGTAAAACTCCCAACAACTAAAGTCGACCCATACTATAGCAAAGATCGCCTACTGTCACTCAACCCGAACATTTTACTTTGTCCTAAGATGAATGAGTGACCAATTGTTTGGAAACACAATTTCATCAATGGTATATTAATGGAAATATTTGACAGGGTTCAAGGTTGCAAGTATAGATATGATGCCCGGGAAAAACCACCCAGGTCGTTGTATCCCTTGTATATCGTGATGACGTCAGAAACACAATGTTAGCTTTTGTACAGCAAGTCGATAATGAATCCAGTGATAGGGGGATGTTTATGATATTCTTTGAGGACCACAATGCGGGATGGTGCCACAGGGTGTGAGAGGCAAATGGAAAATATTTAAGTCCGAGAAAGATGTTATTAGGGTTCATGTTTGGGGTGGGGGAAGTCGTGGTGGTATGGCAAAAAGCAGGAGGTTGTCATGTAATTGCGAAAGGGAGAAAGAAAGAGATAAAACAAATGTTGAAGCTTGCAATTGATATGTTTATTATATTGTCATGGATTGTCAATCATTTAAATTGTATGAGGAAATGTGTGTTTTCACACACACTGAGGTAACATTTTGATTTAACATTTCTAAAGGAATTATTTTGGGACAGGGAACAAGTTATTTTGAAAGGCAAAGTGCGCAGATTACAGTGGTGTACCTCCTTCAGTATGCCAAAGCGTTCAGTTTCAAGTTAGTACATTAACGGGGCAGGGTAATAAAATGGAAATTGATGTAAATGATGAAAAATATTACTTACTGAGTGTGGGTGTTAGAATGGTTGAAAGAAAGGCAAATTTCAGAAGAAAAATACCGAAGGTGGTTAGAACCAAGTGGTATGTTACACCATGAATTAACAGAAATTGTAATACACAACAATGATTTAAAATAAATATTTAAAGAAAGCAAAAACGACGAAAAAGGAGAGAAGGTAAATGATCAATGAGAAACATGGCGTGTTTGAGGTAGGTGTTTTGACATAATAAAACTGGTT